GTTTGGGGAATGTCTAATGGGCAATATTCAGTCTCAGTATATAAGATATATTATTATATTATTAGATGTTGTAACATTGTTAATGTAATTGTTCTTTGTATGTATTCTTTTGCTTATTTATGTGTTTTTACCATTCAATAATGATTTTAATTTAAGAATTTATTGTAATTAATTTATTGTATTTAAAGATTAATTGTATTGTAGTATTTATTCAACAGTATTTTAAATATTGATTATCTAATATGAATTGTATACCTGATGTCTGAAGTGTGGCTGAATAAAATTTTCCTCTTAACATCTGACCTGTTTGATCCCATTTATATTGGTGGGGATAGACTAAATGAGAAACTGCTGTCAGTATAATCCAGTACAGTTCAACAGCACCACAATCTACAACTCAACACTTTAATAAAATGTTAGACTTAATACAATATTAAACTGCTTTTGTTTTTTCTAGGTGTACCAAGTAAACTGTCAAGTCTCCATAAAAATGTAGATAGAAAGCATAGACAGTAACTAAGAATGTATATGATGATAACAACACTTGAAATTGGGTCACTCTCCATAATGAGTACTTTAAACTTTTCATTGACAGTGGTGCAGATTACCATAACAATTGTGCATTTTGTGATGAAGTGTCAAATTTGGTACACTTATAGCCGAAGACATGGAGAAAAAAAATAGATGTGGAGCCACCCTGAATTTTCAATATGGCGGCCAATTTTCAACATGGCCACCACTGACAACTGTTTTTAGATCAAACTTCATATTGACGATAGATATTATGTGATAGAAGCATCACATTTGGTACGGTTATAGCCAAAGACATGTAGAAAAAAATTAGATATGGAGTCATCATGGATTTTTAATACGGCGGCCATTTTTCAAGATGGCTGCCATTGACAACTGTTTTAAGATCAATTTTCATATTATTATAACGATGGCTATTATGTGATATTGAGGATATAAGTTGAATTTATCTACCGTACATAGCACTTGGGAACTATCAGCATCTGGCCCCACACATGCCCTCCTTGGTAAACTGTTCTCTTCACATGCTCCTCTAGGGCAGCCTTTGTCGGAGGGATTGACAGCACATTGTGCCTCTTCACAAATAACTTCCTCCTTGCAGTGTCTATTTCTGTGCATGGGCTGGTTCAGTCATAGAGCAGTATAACAAACCTCTTGATCGTAGCCATTACCTCCTGTGGTATGTCATCTGGGGCAGAGGATAGTTTTAACAGGGCATGTGTAAGCTCTGGAAAGACAGTCCATACAGCCCAGGCAGTCTTCTTCCCATGGCCAGCCAAGCTTGATACAGTGTCACAGCCCGTCAATGCATGGAACACTGAAAGTGCACGTGCCTTCTCAGGCCCCAGCCCTGCTGCAATTTCATGGGCTGCAAGGTATCGAAAACCCTTTCCAGTTCCAAATGCCAACCAAAGCTCGTCTTCTGGCTGGAGACCCTGAGCAACTGCCACAGCCAGCACCACAACATCAGTATCAACAGTTTGTTATTTGTTATTATTTTCTGATGGTCATTTCTTGCTGCATGGGCCACATGTAATAACATGCGACTATCAGCTTCCTCGTGTGTACATGGAGCCAGGTGCGCCGGATTCATTTCAGAAGTGGGGGGGCCAAAAAGTGCTGTGCATCTGGGGCTTGTCACTGTGTGGGCGTGGCTACCTGTGTAATGTCCAGTTAATAATAGGGACTAGTTACAGGTGCGTAGTGATCAGGGATTGAAGTACAGCCTGAGTTGAGTGTGAGCTTGCGCAACAGCGGCAACAGTGTGTTTTAGTGAAAGCAGCAGTATCTTGCAGCAAGTTACACGCTCGTCCTCTCTCATTAAAAAGATGGTGAAGAATGTTTGCATGAAACCTGAACACTTTGAACCCTTTGTGGATAGAGCTGTAGCCTACCCAAATATTTGGATATTTGAATATTCGTTTCTATGGAAAGGTATTCATTATGAAAGTTTGGTATTCGATATTCTTTTTTTTTTTTTTTTTTTTTTTTACATATTTTTATACAGGCCTAGCTGTTTTTTCATTATCTTTTGAATTTAACATGAATTATGGAACCGTTTTTGTCAACGTTTGTTTCCCCTGTTTTGTACAATTAATTACTGTTTAAAGTTTCTGATTTAATCAGAAGACAAATTAAACAGGATGACTAGCCAATGTGAAAATCAAAAGAAAGCACAGAATTATGTACTGAAGGAGACTGTTGTGCCATCACATTTTTTTGTGGTTTGAGAGCAAAGATCCGGCCACTCCTGTGCAGAACTCCGCAATACAATTCTCAAACTTGATTGAAAATCAATTTCGGAGTGGGGCTGGTTCGGAACGGTGGTGTTTCGGAATGGAGGGCTGTCCCCTGTTGGAACATTGTGTGCGCACAGCCCTTCACCACCTCGATCCTAAAATAAACACCTGTTTTATTACATAATCATGCTTTCGTGTTGCGCCATTCATTAAGATCCTATATCTCTGTCATTCAAATAACAAGAATTGTGGTTTAATACTCTTAATTATAACAGCCAACTTACTGAAAAATGATGGGTTTAAATCATAATTAAAATCCCGTCATAATTTAAATCCCGTCCCGGACATAACATGCATGGGTTCGGGCCGGGTCGGGCTGGATTTTTTGGGCCCGATCTAAGCTCTATTAGCCGCTCTCGTTCCCCCTGAGCCGCCTCAAGAAGTGCCTGCTCTCACCCTGCAGCCACACGGAGTCCCTCCTGATCAAAACGCCGCTCCACCTCTGAGCGCAGCAGGTCCAGGGCCTCTGTAGCCTATGTTGTCAGGCAGGCTGCATATCACATCAAAAGCATAGATCTATGCATTCATGATATGAAAGAGATAAATGTAAGTCAGACAAATTGAGTTTAAATTCAGATTTTATTTTTTTTGGTTTATGTTTGTGTACTACGGAGCCGCAGAAGGGCCATTGAGAAAAAAATAAAACACACCACCGCTAGAAATGTTTGACTGCGAACCAGATAGGCCTATAATTTGGCTCGCTTTTTGATTTATTTCTATTTTTTATAACTGGGGAGTTCTTACAATACGGTGCCAGGGTTAGTGGGGATTACTGCTAGGTGCTGTTGGATAGAGCCAGAAGGCTGAGAGTCTACCCAGAGCCTGCCGAGGATGCTCGAGGCTTTACCGGGCTGGTGAGGCAGTAACAGGTGCACACAATTGAGTGCCTGCTGAAGGCTGTATCTTTCTGTCTATGGCCCCTCTCTGTATTTTACCTACCGTATAAGTGGAAGTGAAGAGTGAAAGTCTTTTTTACTGTAAGTAATGTAATATAGGGACCTTTGATTCGGCTTAAAAATAATGTGGCAGGAGGGTAAAAGTGGGGGGGCCAATGGCCCCCTGGCCCCCCTGCTTTCGGTGCCGTTGCATGGAGCAGTTGAGGACAGATCTTGAAGTGGTGGCTTGCTGAGGACTTCTACACCATTTGTGACAACAAGCTGTTTATTATCCTGCACAAACTCCACAAGAAGAGCATCTGAGAATAAGGTGAACAATTCAGTCTTATTGCTGTCAACTCTGAGAAAGCTTTGCCAGTTCCTGGGAATGGGTGCAGAGCCTACCACACGTCTCTGCACGCCTTCCCCAAGCTTTGCTCTTGTGGCAGCTTTCAAGGACTCAGACAAGTAGCGGTCCCACACCAGATCAAGCCTGGTCACATGTCCAAATTTTCTGTTGAGATATGAAATGAAAATCTCTTGGGCGTACTCATCGAAGGTCTTTACAGATGTTGGTTTGAGCATCTGGATGATGGCTGCCCCATCTACAATAGTGCAGATAACCTTGGGGCCATCAGAATATGCACTATGAACATCTTCCAGGCATGAAAGAAGATCACTCTTCATTCCGAAGCGAAGGCCTCCCCCTTCAGATAGCGCTGGGGGACATGGCTGGTTCTCATCCCATTTTGAATGGCCACCATATTGAAAATTCATGTGATGCTTCTATCACATAATATCTATCGTTAATATGAAGTTTGATCTAAAAACAGTTGTCAATGGCGGCCATGTTGAAAATTGGCCGCCATATTGAAAATCCATGATGGCTCCACATCTAATTCTTTTCTATATGTCTTTGGCTATACGTGTACCAAATTTGATGCTTTTATCACAAAATGCACAATTGTTATGGAATGTCTAGTTAAGCTGCACCACTATCATTCATTTCATTTGTCTCATCACCATCCTCCGCCTCATTCTCCGCTGTCTTTCTCGGATCTGCCTCCTCAGCTGGGCAGCCTCCTCCTCAGCCTGCAGGTACAGCAATCCTGCTGCAATAACATGCACCAAGACGCCTTCTCCGATCCATGTCCGTTATTGATTTTTGATTTCCATCTCGCCAGTGCTCATGATCACAATAACCAACAACTCTCCACAAACTTTCCCCCCGCACCTGACTTTTGATTATTATCGGAGGCCAGGTGCGGGAATTGGATAGGCTATAGATTAAATATGATCAAGCTGCGGGGAAAAGGTTTTATAAGACATTTTATGAAACTATTTTGGCTATTTGTATGTTTTTATGTGTCAGTTATATATGTTGAAACATTAAAAACATATACACATTAATTTCATACAATGTCTTTGAAAAGACGCAGGGCTGGGCTTGTGTTTATATTGTTTTATTCTAAATGCATGTATACAACACAGTACAACAGCCAAGGCGAGCGGAGGTGGTGACATCATCAAGTTCGCTGCTGTTCCAAAAGCAGAAAAGACTGTACTCCCGTACTCCCGTTCTCCCGTTCTTGGGAAGTCCGGACTCTCGCGCGGACTTGCCAAGTCCACAAGTCCAAACTGCTGAACTTGTGTATTGAGAAACGGCTAGTGTGTCTGCACATGGGACAGGAAGGTGAGCTAAATGTCAGGTTAGCAGTAAACAATGAACGTAAAAGTAGATGTTCAGTGTGAGCTACAGTTTGTCAGAAATACCAACCCTTTGGTGGGCCAGTTGTTCCACAGGCCGTATGTTTGACACCCCTGATCCAACGCCTGTACATTGGCTAGCAGGATGCTTGGCAGGGATCATCTTTGTGACTGGAATCTTAGCTGGTGTTTGATCTCTCCACCTATGCCTGTGTGCCTTCTCTGAGACAGATGCAGAGATGGTCTTACTTGTCCATGGAGTTGAGATTGTAGCTGGAGCTCATCTTTTCCACTTTTTCCCTGATGTTTTCTCTGATGTTTAAATTTGAAAACCTCCATGGGCCAGTTAGCAGAGTCAGCAGGAGGAGAGTTCACATAGCAGTGAGTTGATTTTCTTATCCTGACGAGTGTCTTGAAGTCTTGTTATCCGATATTAATCACAAAAAGTACAGCTGATATTTGCAAATAAACTCAAATATCACCAGTTAGCATAAATGGTGCAGAGCTGACAGACAGGCAACAACTTTAAATATACATGACATGACAAAATTACATATACCACAGCAACCATAGATATGGTCACTGGGTATTACAGTATTTAGAGCCAGCCATTTCAAACTAACAGAAATAACATGGTTTTTCATAAACAAAGTTGAAAAAACTTCAAACGAGTTCAGAATGTAAACCTGCAGTATGGTTAAATGATTTATGAGACTCCTGTGTTTCTATGTTGAGGAACATTGAGGAAATGTTTAAAAGACTTTGTAATGGCTTCTGTAAATGAGTTATTTCCATTCTTCAATACAATTTTTAATACATTTGCAACACATTCTAAAAACATGTTTTCACTTTTTGTATTTTGGCTTAATATATGCATATTGGTGGGCAAAACTGCAATTTTATCTATTTGAAATTAAACCTACAACAAAAGTGTGCAAAAAGTGAAGCGATCTGAAAACTGTCTAAAGCTACTGTCCCTACTTTAGTTATTTGTAGGGCTGTACCCGTCTCCGAATTATGTCACTCAACTCAGATTAAGCCGTTAAATACAATTTAGGACATTCAACAATTCTTTTGTTTCACTATATAAAGTTTCAAAGTTTGAGTGGGTTCCGCGGGAAATTCAGTGTGACAGCAACATTTGAGTAATATCGTAAACAAGCTAATGATGTTAACAACAGGTCGGAAATGTGCAACAATATTTTTTTCCGACACGAGATATCAAACAAAAGCCAGAGTCTGTGTTGTATTAAAGCAAGGCAAGGCAAGGCAAGGCAAGGCAAGTTTATTTGTATAGCAAAATTCAACACAAGGTAATTCAAAGTGCTTTACAGAGACATTAAAAGCAACAAGACACAATTTAAAACAATAAAAACAGTCGATTAAAAAAGGAAATAGAAATTGAGAATGATAGTGATAATAATAAAATACAGTAATATAAAATAAAAACAGGCTCAATACATTGAACAGTCAGGATAAGAAAAGAAGTAGAATAATAAAAGGCATAAATCAGCAGTGTGTAGTTAAAAAGTACGGGCAGTAGAATACAGCAGATAAGTATTTAATCTAAGAGTGCGCTTCAGTAAACAATGGTGTTTTTAGTCCTGATTTAAAGGAGCTGACAGTTTGAGCAGACCTCAGATCTACAGGAAGTTTGTTCCACAGGTGAGGAGTATAATAACTGAATGCTGCCTCACCTTGCTTGGTTCTTGTTCTTGTAACACACAACAAACCTGTTCCAGATGACCTAAGGGGTCTGGATGCTTCGTAGGGAACCAGTAGATGCATGTATTTTGGTCCGAGACTATTTAGGGCTTTGTAGACCAGCAGTAAGATTTTAGAATCTATTCTTTGACTCACAGGAAGTCAGTGTAGTGATTTAATGACCGGTGTAATATGGTCTAGTTTGCTGGTGCTTGTAAGGGCTCTGGCGGCAGCGTTCTGAATCAGCTGCAGCTGTCTGATTGATTTTTTGTTAAGGTCTGTAAATAAGCCATTGCAATAATCCAACCTACTAAAAATGAATGCATGAATAAGTTTTTCCATGTCTTGTTTAGACAGAAACCCCTTAATTCTAGCTATATTTTTCAGGTGGTAATAGGCAGATTTAGTAATAAACTTTAAATGGCTGTTGAAGTTCAGGTCTGAGTCAATAATAACACCAAGATTTCTGGCTTGATTTGTAGCTGTCAATGACATAGAGCCAAGGTGGGCGCTGATCTTTGCCCTTTCATTTCTAGGGCCAAAAATTAATACCTCTGTCTTTTCTGGATTTAGCTGGAGAAAATTCTGGCACATCCAGTCATTGATTTGATGAATACAGTTACTCAATGAGAGTAAGGGACTGTAGTCGTGTGATGACACTGAGATATAGAGTTGTGTGTCGTCGGCATACGTATGATAGGAGATGTTGTGATGTTCCATAATCTGGGCTAGGGGTAGCATATAGATGTTGAATAGAAGTGGTCCGAGAATGGACCCTTGAGGAACCCCACATGTGATCGTAGTTCGCTCAGATTCATGGTTACCAATTGACACAAAAAAGTCCCTATCTTGTAAGTAAGATTTGAACCATTGTAGCACAGTGCCGGTGAGTCCCACCCACTTTTCCAATCTGCTAAGTAGTATATTATGATCAACTGTATCAAATGCAGCACTGAGATCTAGTAATACCAGGACAGAGGATTTGCATGCATCATTATTCTGATGAATATCATTTAAGACTTTGATAAGTACAGTCTCAGTGCTGTGATGTGGCCGAAATCCAGACTGAAATGTGTTAAAAAGATTGTTTTGCATCATAAAAGTATGGATTTGCTGAAAGACAACCCTTTCAATGATTTTCCCCAAAAATGGCAGATTTGATATTGGCCTATAGTTACTAATTGTTGTGGCGTCCAGATTTGATTTTTTTAGGAGAGGTTTTATTACTGCAGTTTTCAAGGCCTGGGGAAACTGGCCTGCTTTAAGAGAAGTATTTATTATCTGCAGTACATCTGGAGCTATGCAGTTAAAAATGGTTTTAAAAAAGTTTGAAGGCAGAATATCAAGGCAGCATGTTGTGGGCTTTAATTTTGAAACCGTTTCTGTTAGAGTTGTGTAATCTAGGAGGCTAAAATGTCCTAGATTAACCAGAGGACAGGAAGGCACAAGTGTTATCATTCCTGAGCTGGAGCTGCACACTGCCTGTCTTATCTGTAATATTTTGTTTGTGAAGAAGGCTGCAAAGTCATTACATGACTTGTTAGACAGTAGTTCAGGAGGGAGTGATGCTGTGGGGTTGGTCAGTCTGTCCACTACAGAAAAAAGTGTGCGGGCATTATTACTGTTTCTATTGATAATCTCTGAAAAATATGATTGCCTTGCATTCTTCAGTTCCTGGTTATAGTTGTGAAGACTCTCTTTATAAATGTCGTAATATACCTGGAGTTTGTTTTTTCGCCACCTGCGTTCAGCTTGTCTACATACTCTTTTGTATTCTTTAACCAGTGTGGCGTTTCTCCAGGGTGCCTTTTTCCTGCCTGACATAACTTTGGTCTTAATTGGGGCGATAGAATCAATAACAGTCATAACATTGGAACTAAAACTGCTTACAAGGTCATCAACTAGAGCTGAGGGCAGGGTTTGTGATGGTGTAAAACCCAGGGTAAATAATGCACAGGTGTTATCATTTATATAACGCTTTCTGATCACCTCTGCTTCACTTTTCATAGGATTAGCAAGGGTGGTCATTTTGAATGAAACACAGTAATGGTCAGATAAAGCGACATCGTTCACCACAACCTCAGAGATATTAAGACCTTTGGAAATAATTAGATCTAATATGTGTCCTCTGTTATGTGTTGGTTCTGTGACATGCTGAGAAAGCCCAAAGTTATCCAGAATATTTAACAGTTCCTTAGCACACCCATCTGTAAGATTATCAACATGAATGTTAAAATCTCCCACTAAAACAACACAGTCAAATTCCATGCACACAATAGACAGCAATTTGGCAAACTCATCAAAAAACCTTGCATCATATTTGGGGGGTCTGTAGATGGTCACTAAAATTGCTCGACAGGGGGATTTTAACTGAGTGGCAACATATTCAAAGGAGTCAAATTGACCATAAAACATTTGCTTACACTGGAAGCTGTCCTTGAACAGAGTGGCAACTCCGCCTCCTCTCTTATGTATTCTTGCTTCACTAAAGAAACTAAAATTTGGAGGGGCTGTCTCAATTAAAACTGCTGCACTATTTTCCTGACCTAGCCAAGTTTCAGTTAAAAACATAAAATCAAGTTTGTGCTTGTTAATAAAATCATTGATTAAGAAGGATTTGCCAGCCAGAGACCTGATATTTAGAAGTGCTAGTTGTGAAACGTTATCTGGCATAAGTTTAGAGACAGACTGTGTTTGACATGAGATACATATCAGATTTGATGGGTTGACTGTCCTTGATTTTCTGCAGTTGTTTTTATTTTCGCCATGCCGCCGGCTGAGTGACATTGCCGGCATAAGGGGGAAAGCGGCATGGTGACTGTCCTATCTCTTCTTTTCTTGACATTCTTTCTGGGACAGAGACAATCTCTGCAGGTTTCTTGTAATGTGGAGGACAGAGTCACAGACCGTGACGTCATCATCATGGGAGGCGGTTGTTGTTTTTGGAGCAGTAACTGTCTGTCTGTCTGCTCCCTGTGTGCTGACCTTCCTGCTTATCAGTGCACATATGTTCTGATAAGATGACTCGATGGTGTGACGTATGTTGCAGCCAAGATATCTGGAGCCAAGGTTGTTTGGGTGAATCCCGTCTGACATGAAGCGGCTTTTTATGTTCCAAAAAATATTAAAATTGTCAATAAATCCAACCTGTTGCTCGAGGCAGGCTGATGACAGCCATGTGCTTAAGCCAAGGAGTCTGCTGAAGGACTCGCAACCTCTGCCGAGTGTTGGGATAGGTCCAGAGATGAAAGACACTCCTGAGTGAAGATTTTTAAGTGTTTCCAATAAAAACAAAAAGTCTTTCTTTAGGGTCTCAGACCCAGATTTATTCGTGAGGATGTCAAATGAGCCAGCATGAATAACAATCTTCTTAATATGTGGCCGTGTAGACATAATGTCTGGTAGCATAGCTGCCACCTCTCTGACTGATGTGTTATTCACAGTTAGATTTTCAGTCCTGGCCATTTCCACCTGCCTCGTTATAAAATCCCAAATCAGAATAGTATCTATCCTCTTAGATTTGTTAATGGCAGAATGATCTCTGGCTCATGGCCTGGAAATGGCTTGTGACCCGTTAACTTTGTTATTGCTCAGTTTCATAGTCTCACCTTTATGAGTTAAGCGACTCTGTTTCCTCTGTTGCCGCTCTGTTTCCATGGTGTGTGCGAGGGGGGACACAGAGCTGTCCGCGCGGGGAGGCTGCCAGCTGTTAGCCGGGAGGGGAGCTGCCGGGAGGGGACCTGCTGGCACAGGATGACTCCCGGACTGGGGAGACGTGGGACGGGCTGCATCATCCTTGAGCTCATCGGAGTCTGGCGCTTCGACCCGCGATGACAGAGACTCAAATCTGGTGGAAAAGGTGAGGTGGGATGAGAGACCGACGCAGAGCCAGGTCCTTTTTTCACTCCGTAACACGGGGACGGGGTGTTGAACTGCTGGGCTGCGGAGGAGAGGAGGTAGGATCCCAGGCTACTGTGTCCTGAAGAGCAGCTTTTAACGGGGCGATCTGTAGAGACTGCTCGTGAGCCACGTCCAGGGACTTAAGTTCCGCTGACAGCCTTTGGATGTCTTCCTTGAGGTTGGCAATGATCCTCTCTTTCTTAACAAGTTGCTGGTTTTCATCGGGAGGGCTGGATGTAGCCATTGGCTTAGCAAACCAAGCTAAGTTGCTACAGGTTGCTTCACAAGTCGGCTCCACTCAGGCTTGCACTGTGCCTCAGCCCTGCTCACACAGTACTAAAGTTGTGAAAGTGGTGAAAATATGGCAGTAGTCCTCTGTATCTCTCACAAATTAAGGTACCAATGCTTTATAAGTATCCAGGATCTACTTTCTGTAGCGTTTAGCAGGAAAAAACAAGTATATCCACAAAAGAATGTATCAAAGCGGAGCGCAAGCAGCAGAGCGTCTGCACTGTAAGAAAGCCGGAAGAGAAGGGTGGAATTAAGTATCTGTGAGCTGTAAATTTACTTTCAAGCAGAAGAAAGAAGATAATGTTATCTCAGAGCCCTACAGTGGAAAGTTTCTTTCTTCAGATATCATGGGCTACGTACATATGTAGAGACAGATGGATAACCTGAAAACATACTGCCTTCAGCCTCAGCTATCGCCGGTGCGGAGGCATAAGAAAGACTACTCAACTTGAAGCAGTCTCAGTTGACTTGGGGGTCTCCGACCGACAATTCGAATTTCCGGCTTTCAAGAGGCCACTCTAGTTATTTATATTGGAACCAATGTCAAATGTATAAATAAGCATCAAGTGCTGAATAGGCATTTAATATCCAATCATCAGTGTCAAAACCTTGATTTCACGATCAAGCTTTGGACCATTCATGTTCATCTACGTTCTGCCACAATCATTTTTCCTATTTAAATCTTGATTCAAAGCACAATATCTGCCATTTTTTATTACATAATGTGATTGTTTCATAGAGAACAGAAGTGATGAGTTTTTTATTTGAACTCTAACTTTATGAGCCAGGAGAGACACATGTCCATTACCTGGTGTAGAGCCAATGAGGCGGCCGGACAGGTCGGCTCCCGGGAGCTTCTTCTTCAGGATGGGTACAATCTTCTCATCAAAGTACTCCATGGCCATGGAGGAGATATCCCTCAACTCCTGCAGCACCTCATGAGCTCGCTGGGGGGCTCTAGTGGAGTTCACATAGCGTAGCACGCGATAAATCTCATCTATCACCTGACAAAACACAACAGCATGTGACATTGCAAACAAGACAGGAAACCAGAAAAAACACAACTCAAACAACTGAAACAATACTAAAAAGACCAGTGTCTGAAATTAACATTAGCCCCTTTTCCACCGCAAGAACTTTTATCATTTACCGAAGATTCTGAAAAGCCTTGCCGCGTTTACACCAAAATTGCCTGAGGGAAAATTTTTTTCTCTCAATCCCAAACTTTCCCTGAAGAAACTATCTGGTAGGGGGGTAGGACTTTTCATATTACCTGGAATTCTTGAGGGGCAGGGCTGTTTGCTGAAGAACGCTGAACGCAATAAGTTCAAATGACAGCTGTCTGTATGTAGACTAACTTAGTTTGACATTTACCTTAAAATACTTTTAAACTTAGCTGCTGGCTGAGACAAATAGCCCAACTCTCTACACCAGCCAATAAGCTGGCGGAGCCAAATACAGGGCTCACACCGAATCATCTACGTCATGAGCCTGATTTAAATAAATTTTCCGGAACTTTGTGAGGTGCAGTGGAAACACAAACAACACAGATTACCAGGAATTCTTTTACCCAGGTAAAAAAATTCCTGATAATAAAAGTTCCTGGAAAAGTTGGTGGAAAAGGGGCTTTTGTGACACATCAGCCAAATGGACTGGTCGACAAAAAAAACACTGATCAAGCATATGTTTTAGCAGCTAAAATAATAAATTGCCTTTTTGTGTTCACATACATTTGTTTTAGTAACTTTCATTGAGATAATGAGTTACTATATTGACTACAAACTGAAAGAAGAGGGCAGAGAGATATTTAAAGCAAATTATTTACATATTGATCAGTAGTTGATCAATTCAAGCCCGAGTACAACACAATAAGTCTTGATCTCAAAATTCTACCAAAGTATTTTGTAAACCTATCGGATGCTTCATAATTTTAATCAACTTAAAACACCTCATCAGACTCCTCACTCTGTACCACAGTCCCCCTTTCCTATTTTGCACAGTCCATTAAGTCTGACCTCCTGCTGCTGCTGTTATCATTAGTCATCATTAGGCTTTAAAGCCTCAGTGTGTAAAAATGGTAAGTAACAGTGACATCAGCGGTCAAATTCTAGATTGCAGGGCTCACTCGTGCTCACTCGCTCACCCCCTCACCCCTCCCGTCGGGTAAGTGATGGTGGCCTCGTAGGACAGAAAGCCTTGCGCAGACAGAGATGGCATCATCCACGAGTTTTTCAGGTTTTTCAGGAGTAGGCCTATCTAGCGATGAGGTGAATATTTATTTAGGAATCTAAACCATGTTATGATATTGTAGCGACCCTGCAGTAAATGTTCTGTTATAATGTCAATGTTCTGTGAGTTAATGGCATGTTTGAGATTGAATGAGTATAGGTAGGGGGGCGGGGGGCGAGTGTGACGGGGATGAGAGCTGTGTGAGTGCGGGTGCTGGTGTGTGTATGAGCGAGCTGGAGGAGAGAGCAGGAGTGCACAGTTGGAGTTACAGCTAAGTTCTTGTTTGTTGGTCGTTTTGGCGTAGTTACGGCCAACAGTAACCTGTACTGTTCAGTAATAAACGGTGGTTTGCCAAATAACTGCGTCATCCTTTCCACACGTCCTGGCGGGCGCTACGATATGTTATAGCTTACCAGTGAGATATAGGTTATCTATGATATAATGTTATGTTAGGAGTGTTTGTTTGTTTGTTTTGGCAAACATTAGCAAAGTAATGCTAAAATAACACGTTTTATGTGATAGTCACGGCACAGTGCAGCAAATATAGGTTGGTACAATTATAATATATGTGTTCCCCACAGTGTTCTTCCACAGGAGTTTTTTCCACCTGGAATAAGCAACGCCGATATTCACTCGCATTTTGTCCCATCCTCGCTTATCTGATCTTTTTCTTTCATTTGGTGGCGTGGTTTCCCTCTTACGGGGCAAAACATATGTGTGGTCCTCCATTTAAAGTGCGACAGGATCATAAAAGTACAAAGCAGGTTCACGCAGAAGCGCCCCGGATTGAGCTTCACCTTCTCTGTCTCCAGTGACGGCAAGTTCTAGGTAAACGCAAAAGGCGAAGAGCGTATATCCCTTTCAGCCACTGTATTCAAATATGGCGACGCAAGAAGGCAGCCTCCAGCCCTGCCTGTGTACATATAGAGAAATCATTCTAAGCCTATGAGAAAGCTTCCATTTGTATGTGAATTGCATTACACTTTAGCAAATATATATTTATGAAAGCAATAGTTTATATTTGCTAATAAACAACCACGTAAATTACACAGTGTAACTTGTAACTCTCCAGTCATAATGTTTGGTGAAAATAATTCCCTCTCATTTGACTTATATTAAAATGGGCTAAAATTCAATTTCCCTATTTAAACTAGTATTACTGCCCCGTGGTTGTATGCCTACATGCACCAGTCAAGTTTTTCTTACAGTTTACATCCATGTCTGTGAAAACATGGATACTTCACACACACTGTTCCCCCATCACAGACGATTTATACAATCAGCACAGTTTCAAGGGGGTCACCCAAGATTTGTGTCACCATCAAGCATCTGACCAAATGTCTCCTCCCCTGTTCCTGAGATATGACATTGAGTAATGGCCAGAAAAGTGTTTTTGCAGAACATTATGATGTCACAGTGAAGCTGACCTTTGACCTTTTGGATACAAAATGCCATCACTTTAACATTCAATCCTATTAGAAATTTGTGTGAAATTTTGTTAGAATTAATGTATGGATTCTTGAGTTCTGTCCAAACATGTTTTGTAAGGTCACAGTGACCTTGACCTTTGACCTTCAACCATCGGTGGACGTTTGTGCCAAAATTTGAAGGGGAAAAAATGAATAATTGTGAGCTGTTCTTGATGACACAAACAAGATGACAGCAACCTTTGACCCCCAAAATCTAACCAGATTTTGGAGTTAAGTCTAAGGCCCAATCCCAATTCCTATCTTAACCCTCAATCCGTGCTCCCGCGAAGTGCTAATGCTGTCCCGATTCTCAGAGTGTTGAGTGGAGGGTCAAAAAAAAGGGCTGTATGGCCCTCACTTTTAAGATTTTCCAGGACCACCCTTGGCAATAAGTGCTATCCCAGAATCCTTTGCGTATCATCCGCTGAGCTCAGCCGAACCCGGCCGAGTACAGACAATTCAGTCAATGCAAGATGGCGTTATCAATGTGAGTATTTCCCTCGTTAATAGTTGTTTTAAAATTATGATAACCATTGCATTATCTTAGTTTAACATCATTTTATGGACTATAGACCTCTTTGTAGCGTAACACACATATTTTTGGTCGCGGGCGACGGCTTGCCTGCCCCGCCGCATGTAACCCCGGTTCTCTGATAACCAAGTATGCTGTCATTCAGTTACAAAATTTTTCTCAGTGATAATGTAGTTGTTAAGTTGTTTTAATATACGTGAAATGTTTGCATCAACATTTTTGTAAGATGACCGGACGGTGTCACCTCCTGTAGCCGTAGAGTCTGCAGCTGATAACGTTACAGCTGCAGGTTAACGTTAGTGATCGTATTATCTGGTGACTTTCCGCTGAATAAGTTACGTCGGTTGTTGTGGTACAGGTTATTTGGTTGAATATCAACTTATAACCCAAAGAGTGAAACGTTAACATGGATGAAAGTCACCAGATAACACTTGTGTGACCGTGTAAACATCCTCACCAGTTCTGCTGGATGTTGACTACAGTATTCATTGTGATAATACTTGCAATACTACATGAAACTAAACTAATAACTTAACGAAAATCTGACAGGTAGCCCAAAAAATAAAAGAAAGTAATGTTGTTATCTCTGTTCCATTTCAGGGCCACCAGACAAAACACAAGCCCTGATTCATTTCAGGGCCACCAATGAAGATAAGTTTACAAAAAGCAAGCAGGCTCCAAAAAACTATGGGAGTGAGTAATTTGTAAGTTGTGAACTGTTCATATTCATAACATAACTCTCGGTCACAACGGCAACTGTTCCCCTAGTGATCAAGCATTCTGTTTCAATATGAAGTCAGCACAGCTGCAGACGGCATTGTCGAAGATTATTGTTTGGTAACTGTACATTTGTTTTGCTGCCCCTATACTGTCACTTTTTGGAAAGATTTTGTCGAGTATATTCCAGGGTTCTTGCACCATTTTAAAAGTAAAATTTAATGCTTTTTATGACCTTTTTAAGACCTCAAAGAACATAATTTAAGACCCAAAAATAATATATAAATATCAATTTATTTATATTAATTTATTGGCAGATAGTAACAGTACTGGTTATGTGCTCTATTCAAGTCAGTCTATGGCCACTGTGGTCTTTCTGTGTGTGTGGCCTATAAATTTAATGGTAAATTTTGCAAATTAAACTAATGATTTTCTATAGGTTTACTAACTGGTAAAATCATATATTTTGTGCTAAAATACAACATATCTAATGTGTATTTACAACATAGCTTGATTCTATATCTCTATTTACAGCTCATTAACCCTTACGTGAATGTTTACTGTTGCTGTGGCAACAAGTGATAGACTACATTAGCTGCTAGATTTGCCCAACCGTCAACAACAACCCATAAAACCACAATTTGGCATATTTACACATAATAAACCACATCTACCAACAGTTACACCCCTTAAACTCTGAACTAATGTGTTGTTACCTGTTAGATTGTCAAAGTGACCATAGACCTGTGACCTAAATATAGCACATAACCAGTCCTCTGCCAACTCTGTCCGGATTGGGAGCACTGAGCACCAGGGGAGTGTTGGTGTTTACACCGCTAGTATAGGAGCTTTGGACTGCATTAACATTGCTCAATTTTACACCATACTTAAGGGTCATTCTCACTGCCGCGATACAGAAATGCGAAACGGATTGGCGGAATATTTGCGCAACGCTTTTCCGTGCTCAAACCATACACACAGGCGCGGTACGGACGCGGTGCGAAATTTCGCGTTGTTGTGTTCCAAGTCCGCGCTGCGTGAACGGGTGTGGGTGAAC